AAAGGAATGAAGTGCAGGAAAAGTATATCAAAAGCCAAGCCCATAATGACTTTCGCTGCATCTGAGGCAGACGACAACAACGAAAGTCCATACTTAGCGAAGCGTACATACGAACGACGAACCACGTAATAAACTTGTCAAAAGACGCAGCTCCCATGGTGGTTGGGCCTATAATGCTTTGCAGCCAAGCCGACGTTTTGGCACTGGCAGCGAAGCGCTCGCTAACAAGGGCTCTGTAGTGTGCTAAGCCAAGATTTGCTTCCACATGTCCCTCCTGTTCTGGCTGGCTATCACAACTTACTGAAGAAACTATTTATATGTTAGAAGGATCTGAACATCGTCCTTCTAGCTCCATTCGCATCTGAACATCGTCCTTCTAGCTCCATTCGCCAAAGGGATACAACTGTCTCTCCCCCAATCCTTCTTCCTCCCTGCGTGGCCGTGTGGCTCACTGCAGCTTCGGTGGTTCTTGTCAGTAACGAAACCCAGTCTTGACTACAGAGTACCACTATGTCGCACCTGCATGTCCTATAGCCGTTCTACAGGGCTTTTGGGTTTTTGCTTTCTTTTGCTTTTCTTGTAGTGCATGCTACAGGTAGCTTATACAAAGGCCATTCGTGTCAATCTTCAGCTTGTCAGACTGATTATATCAGGCTGCACCTTGTCGTGTAAACCTGCCGTGTCCTGCACCAGTTCACAGGAAATGCATTAGGTCGTCCAGGAAACAATCACGACCAAAGTGCATTTTTAGCGCTGTCACTACGCCATGAGTACCCAGTCACTCGCCATACACCACAACGAACGAACACTCCATAAAGGCTTGCCTCATTTCAAGGTGCAGCCATAGAGCGCCACATTGCAGTGCAGCCCAGAAATATCCTTCAGGTCCCCATAATTAAAAATTTGTAGATTGACGCACCAAATGGGGGCGATACGTGGAGAAATGGATTCAATTCTCAAGCGTTAAGGCTTAGTGTTCCTTGCAATTAAGTCCAAGGGTCGGAGCCGGCAAGAGGTACTGAAGCTGAACTGCGGCGCACATCCACGCAGCGAGAGGGGAGCATCCGAGGAAGTCGGAGGAGACAGAGTTCATCTAGAAGTGGGAGCTTGCGAAGATGTTGTTTCGGGCTTTTCAGCGTGTAGAAGTGTCTTCAGCTAGTAATGATAGGCACGAACACATTCAGCCAGAACAGATAGGGCAAATAGGAGACGAGCTGACCTCAGCTCACCGCGGTAGTAAGTCTGCAGCTGTAGAGTGAATAGGAATGCACGACGCGAGAGTGCACAAAAGCCATCCGCGAATGTTGGCAACAGCGTAAAGTCAGATGACTTTACTAGGATCTACTCAGCACACTCGCACTCGCCGCTTATCGCCCTTTTCTTCACAAAACACATGACAGCACAGCACCTCGGCGTCGAAAGTCTCAGGCTGGCTCAGCCCTATCTTCGTGCAACCTGGCGCTCCATATCCTTGCTTGTTTTCGCTACCTATTTTTGTATGGGCTTTCCGGTTTCCCGGATGGAGCCTGCTTTTACTTTTCTTATATTAGGGAGCAAAGGCCCCTCTGCATACTCAGACGGACACTTTCTTGCATTTCCTGGTATCTGTATCTCCATCCTCCATTTAATGAAGGGCTTTCTGGCTTATGCTTTGTTGTAAACCCACGCATCACTACTTCGCCAACCCTATGGAGCCCAGTGAGCTCGATTCACGCAGCGCGTACATCTGCATACTAAAAGACTTACGCGGCTTCACCCTCGCTCCATGCATCCGGTAGAGTCCTGTCGCCTCTACGTGGTTCTGCAGGCGTAGGACAGTCGGTATCACGCTAACTTCCCCCACTATACCTCTTTCACGCATTCCAAAGCCATTCAGTCCGTTGTTTCCTGCTGGGGCTTTCTTGTTCCTTTTCTCGGTGGCTCAGCCTCATACACTTTCAACACGGTGATGCCTTTCCCTCAAGCCCCCGCTATCATGGCGTCCTCTGACCTTTTTCGGATTTCTCGTAGTTGCTCTTCTTCGCAGTCGCTGGAAATTTGGCGTCATGCAGCTCTCTGTTCCACCTCTCTGTTAAGGCCAGCCCAGACCGGCGAAGAGGGCCGGTGGGATCTGCACGCTCCACCCATGGCAAAGGCTCTTGCTTCCGGCCACTCCCGAGGATCATACCTAACGACTTGAGGAATTTTCCACAGTGATGCACAGGTTGTTATCCACCCTCAGTCGTACACTCTTCGTGGTCTCCCCCACCTTATTCAATTCTGGGCAGCTCCCCAGCATTTTAGACTTGGACAGGCTACAGATTCTAACGTGGAGCCGCTACTTCAGCAGTTCCCGTTCTCCCAGATCTATAGTGTCCTTCAGATACGTCTGCCCCAGTATGGCAGAGCCCCTGAGATACCGAACTACCTTACGGTCCCTGTAGTGCACAGCACCTACTGCTGCGACTACGCTGGTAGCTGCCCCCTCGAGCAGGGGCCTATGATCAGCGTCTAACTTCGGTGCATTTCCCTGAAACAGTAGCACAAATATGACGAAATACAGTTATTTTTAGTTTTCCAAAATCTGTTGTCTTGAAAATCCCCCCCACTTGGGGCTCTCGCCGCCTAGGCCTTGTGGGGAGGAGGCCTGCACCAGTGCCGGCGCTATCGCCAGCCCCAGTGTCCACGTATTTACAGGCACCTCTAGTGTATGCAGTGTTAATTCGCAGACAAAGTGCCTTACTTCGATCCTAGTAAGAGGGTCCTCTCCTCTTCCAGTGTTACGACCTCTTGTAGGTCGCTAGCTAGCTATCTTCTATACGTTACCAGCACGCCCTAGTGTAGTGCCTGTGCACTTCAGTCCCCACGCATGCGATTAACCCAGATATCTGCGGAAGCACGGTAGGAACTTTCCTATGCTGCAAAGCATGGAAAGGTTCCTACAGTGCTTCCGTCCTCATGCTATGAATTTTTTTGGTGTGGCAAACGTGCGCTTTTTAAAGGAGCCGACTTGCGCATTCGTGGTAGGTGGTTCACCCTTGCAGTCAGTTGCTGGCCATTGTGCTGTCAACACGGAAAGTAAGGGTGCACCCACGGGCTCCTCTCCACTATGCAACGTCCATAACTCCGTGGCTTGGATTTTCAAGTGCTTTACTTGCTGGTTTAAAGGAGATTCACTCGGTTTCAGCTAGTGCGCATCTCTGATGGCTCCGACCCCGGCATTGCAGACGAGCGTCAAAGGACTGCCCAGTCTACGGACTGTTTTTCCTTCATACACTGCTGCCAATTTATAGCTTGGGTGTCTTTAATTGGTTAAACTATTTTCCTAGAATGGTATCTTGCGCTACAGCTGGGTCTTCCCACGTGAGACTCTCAGTGCCTTACAGTGAGTCAGTCAATACTTGTTGTCTGCTGGTGGTTTAGTTTGACTGAGCAGCATGACTCCACGTTAAGTTGATGTTCTGCTGTCTCTCCTGCGATTAAATGCATCTCGTGTATTTGTTCTTTCTCGTTCACTGAACTCAAACCGCCTTTCAATTTAATGTACACTTTGAATCATAAGGCAGCTTCACAATTCTTTGGAGAGGGACCTAAACACACGTGATTCACCTCTGCAGACCACGGAGGATTTCTCTCTACCAACATCATGAAACCCAAATCTTTTGTGTGCTCCTGACAAAAGACAGGATTAAATGGCTTCAAGTTAATTCGCACCTTGTGTACGACCCGAAAGTACCTTATCAAGGAGCATTATGCCTAGCCGCTGCATTGTTGAACGCAGCAATGCCATTCAGATGTGCAGCCCGAAACCACGTGTAGGTCTCTCTAAGAAGCATTCAATCGTGCTTTATTGACCACAGGAATCGCTTGCTAGTCCAAAAGACGTGCGATTTCACTTGTCAAGTTACTTTTGCATCATAGAAGCCAAATACTTCCGACTTGCCAACTACACAACCTGCCGGGGTTACGGTGTGAAGTGGACTGTTCTTACTAGACTGAATGAAGTGTGCAGATAATAATGGGGAAGAACAGAAAGAGTCATGTCACCTGGCCTCGGACACTGGTGAATGCCGAATGGCTTCCTGAATTTACACCAACCCAGAGGACCTCAGGCACTCCGTATAGCCCTTCTATGTATGCTACCAGTAAATAATTTTGCGGTAGCCTCCTGCATGGACTGCCCTACAGAATGAAGGGTGCAATGCATAACGCGCTGAACTCAAGTATTGCCGGGTAGGAAGGAAAGTCGCTCCACTTGTCGTGGCTAGGAGCTTTTCCCCAGTTTTACAGAGACTTCGGTCTTCAAGACACAGTACCGTGAATTTGTAAAAGCGAACTGTCTCTGTCTTGCAATGCTGGGTACAGCATGCACCTTATTCCCCACAAACCGCATACGCCATTTGACTTCGGCCCTTCGGAAAAACAGGGCTCAAAGAAAGAGCCCGTTTGTGCACATGCGCTCTCAAAGAGTACGCTTCTTGCGTCGAAGCGACAAGAAAATGATTTACCTTGGACAGAATGTACATAGAGCTGGCGTGCCCACCCAAATGCACCAGAATTTGATTCGGGAAGGAGGGAGGGCTAGCTCATCGGGGCGCCAGGTATCTAGTCCCGTTAATAAGCATTGAGTTTTGGCAAACTTATCGTCACTCACCGTGTCGAAAGCATTTTGAAGCACAAAAAACCGCATAACAGCTGTCGAAAGAACAGAATGTTATGGGCAATCGAGTAAGATGCCTCTTGCTGACATCGTGCCAAAACAGTGCGGCGATTGGGAATTAAGCCCTCATTTGCTAAAGAGACGTCCATCTTTATTAGAAAAATGCACCAAAAGTGTGCATTTAACAGAATCTGGAAGGCAGCATCCGCGATTTAGTAATGTCACGCGAATGGTGCTTCGCACTACGTAAATAAATGCTCGTAATGTACGCCTATCTGCAACTACATTTAGATCTGCAAGTATCCACCTTCACGTCCACGAAAGTGACTGTTAACACTTCTGCACCTCCCGACGCTGAGCTCTAAACCTGCGGCCGAGTTTGCACAAGGGCAATTGTATCTTCACCAATGACCACTCCCTCAATGTCTTGCGGGGCTCCGTACGCCTCTTCAACCAGAAACCCAATCTGCACGCAGCGCAGCGCAACCTCGACTTGCCTGAACTGCCCAAGTGCTATACTTTGTCTTCAGCTCCAAAACAAAGTATGTACTCCTGTTGATTTATCTACCTCCAGTTGAGAAAACATGACAACAAAGCCCGCCTTGTCATCTGTTAAGACAACTCACGAAAATATTCTCACCTTGCTGATCTTCGACAGCAATGCTTGTCTGTAATCTCTGTCGCTAACAAGGCGTTGCCTCCAGTAACACAATGGTAGCCAAACGGCCTTTTCCGCCGGAATAGACTCGAATAAGCCCGCCCCTGCAAACCCTTCGAGGTCTTCACCGTTCGAGTCCGAACTGCGCCGGCACAAGAATTAATCGAAAGAAGGGAATTTGACAGAGATACCTACGTAATCTAAAGCATTGGCCTCTTAATTCGTAATGTCCTAGCATGATCGGCAGTCTCCAGGTCGATTCCGCCGCCTCCAACACGAAGTGCCGCTTTCAAAAGGTTGCTTTATTTAATCTTTACGCTCCCACTGAGAATAAAATGGGAACCACAGGAGAACCAGCCACCTACCGGAAAATTAAACACGGATCGCACGTCAGAGCGACGCTCTTGCTTGGAAATGCAATCACTTTTGCCTCCCCACAACGCTTCTGCGTCCACCCTAAAGCTCGACCCGCATAATTGCCCACAATGACCTCTCCAAGTCCTGACAAGGAAACAGCCAGCGAACACTCATAAGAGAATTACTACTGCCCCTTTGTTCCACCAGCGAATCAGTGAAACTGTATGCTGAGTGTGTGCGGACGAAGGGAACTCGGAAGCACGCCAAGCAAGGATTGCAGGGGAGGCAGATGAGTCTCCTGTAAGGCACACTAAAATGTTGAAATACTACATTGTGCGAATCGCAGCGCCCTCACCTGGGGCCATTTCTCCGTACAGTTCCTCAGCGTCCTGTGAAAACGGATTCTTCGTGTGCAAAACGAAAGAATAACGAACGGGAAGAAGCTCCTAAGAAGAAGACAGAAATGCAGCATGCCCGGGCTAGTGGAGCAAGTCCCCGAATCACACTGCTAAGAGTAAACTGAGGCCGCATTGCCTAAAGATGGCACCTAAGACCGAAAAGCTGCAGCAAAGAGCATTTACTCTAATCCGTTAACTTCCCTGCCTCTGAATGTACTCAACAAAGAGCTTCAGGAACTTCTACGTAAGCAGAAGCTACCGTTGGGTGTCAGCTGTTCACCTGCACGAGAACTGCCATATTGAGTTCGCAATAATCTCTTGATGCTTTTGTGAGTGAAATCCAGGGACGTAGTCCAAAGAGCGAAGCCCACACTTGGACCAAGGCTTCTGTGCATTTCTTATCACCATTCTTCTTCCAAAGATCTAGGAGGTGAGGACGCCGACTCATGTTGGCGCTGGAATCTCCGCTGGTCCCGCCTTGTGCATCGCTACTTTGAAGCGCCTCCTTCAGCGCCTCGCGAAGTTCCTTAGGGACTGATATATTTGCAATAGACTTGCGGCATATCTCGAAAATAGCTTCGGCTTCCGAGTTCTTGAGACGAATCGACAGCCGCCTTAATGCATCACTTAGTGAAGCCAGTGCCTGCTCATTCTCAGGTGCATGCAGTGTGCGCTGCAGGCTGCCAAAAGGCAAAGCTACTGAGGCTGGAGTCAGCACACCGTTTGGAAGAGATGACATTAACTTGAAGATATTAAGAGATTTCGACCCAACTAAAGACCTAAACACAACAGACAGCCATCGAAAAAATTTTATCTCCATAAGCTCATTGCTTACAGGTGCCTAAAAGTCTGTACTCTGGATGGCGCAGAGATGAAACATAATTCTAAATCTGGGGACAGCAACTATCGGCTGTACTTGCGAGTGTTTCCTCCATGTGTGAGCTTCGTCTCATCTTTTCTGCCTTTGTTCCAGCGAAGTCGTAAAACTCACGCGGGTCGTTCATATTATTGCTCTTGAAAGGGACATGGGACATATACAGCTGGAAGCGTTGGCTTACGATGTAAATTTCTCTGGAGTTATGGCCCAAGGAGCATCCATAGAGGCATCCAGGATGGCGACATTCCTGTCAGCGTGCTTAATGGATTTTCGAATTTCTTCCTCTTCATGAGTTTCCATCACTAGCTGCGATGCCTTACGGTCAAAGAGACTTGAACAGGTCCTCTGGACCAACGGGTCAGGCTTCCACTTCGACGCAGGTGCCACTTTTAAGCTGCTGCCGTCGCGCGTGCATTGAATCTCAACCCACTGCCCGGCAAGCCGCTCCTGAGACAAGCAGCAGTGATACGGTAAGGCAGCAAAGAAAGATTCATACCAGCACTCATCTTGCGAAAAAAATTATTTCGATTCCGACGCTGCGGTCATGCCAAGCATGGTTTGCACATTGTTTCCCCATGAAATGCAACAACTCTCACCAGCTCGCTACTCTCTGCCTCGTCGAAGCAGACTGCCAAGAGCACATGGGCATTTCTTGCGCGGACAGACACATGACTGAGTATGTCCGGGGAAACCGCCGCAGAACGGACAAGAACAGCTTGTACGCCTTCGGGAATCTCTTCCTCGCCACTTACAGCATTGCAAAGCAATATTGTTGGCGAATCGAATACCTTGTCCTGAGAACAGGAAGAGACAGTAGGAAATTCCACAGTAAGAAGCAGCCCCCCATTGACTCCAAAAAACCGACGGCGATTGCAGAGATTTCATTACCGGCATTCAGCTTCGCTATTTATAACTGCACGTACGCAGCAGGCCGATACACAGGACAGCGTAATCGATAAGTGAGTAAGTTTCTCCAGCAAACTCACGGACCTGGATGCCCGCGAGCTCGTTAATAGTAACAAAATCACCCCTGACCCGCTCAACAACCGAGATGAGCTGCCATGCTGGTAGGCTCGCGGCTTTTCTTAGCAGTGGCTCCAGTCGCTTGATGGAAAATGAAATGCTGAGCAGCGAGGAGCCACGAAGCACCTCGTCCACGAAAAAGTCAAGCACCTTCTTGTCGGTCCCCACTTGGGCTCCCAAATACTGCGCTTTTGGCCCAAGGCCCTCTTGCACGGAGTCCACTTGTTTACCTACGAATCGAGAAAGTCGGTCTACAAGGGCCTTCAAGAGAAGCGCTGCCTCGCGGCATTCGTTTATGGAGCTGTCTCCACAGGCGCAACTAGATGCGAGGTCTCCAGATAAATGCTGCCAATCGGCGCACAGGTTCCTGAGAAAGCAGAACCTTGTTCAGTGCACGTTGTGTTAGTTCACTTCACGTCATTTCATCGGTCACAAGCTGGAACAAATAAAGATGATGTGTTTGCTTCCACAGATGCAGAAAGCAGTACAGCGGAACACCTGTATTCACCTGCAGCCTTTGACGGTGAGGGTTAAACAAGGAAAAACGTGGCACACAAAAGCGGGAGCAGTGTCTATTACACTGGCCCTGCGCATGCATGAACTCTAGCTGCAACATGGGTACTCGAAGAAAAAACGGCTCACGTCAGCTCAACATTGAATGGATCGTGCGCAGAAAGACAGAGTAGGAGTTCTCGCAGATGTGTCGCAAGCTGCTGAGCATCAAAAGAGGCCGTAGCTTGCAACAGCAATCCCTGCTGCTGCTCCAGGACGAAGTCAAGCATCAGCAACTCTCTCGTACCAGCGATCTTGGAATCATCAGAAGTGTTAAGGCCACCATTTTCGTTGAGTTGGAAACATATGCGCCGACGAACTTCCGATAAACGCACAAACCGACTGTGGAGCTCCCCGGACCCCATACCATCTGTCCGTTGGCCCATCTCCCCCAACACTGCTTCTACCATGTGGGCAGTATCTCCAGCAAGGTGTGCCCGCGCGTAGTCGAATGCTTTCTGAATGTCCCCGCAAGAGATAGCCCGCGCACCAAAACCAATACGGTACGTTAGCCGCAGCATCTAAAATGACGCACAGCTGTGTCAGCTCTGTTTGCTGCTGCAATAGCTCTGATTGCGGATGGAGAGACACCCTACGGAATAATGCAAACTCGCAGCTCACCCGCGCATCCCTAGCATCGTGAACATCCTGTATCACGCTGAGGTAAGACTTAAAGTCGTTGATAAGCTCGTTTATATCCGTGTGCACCATGTGAGGCTCCATTGTAATCTTCCTTTCATAGCTCGCGAGCCGCTCTCTGGTAATACCGTGGTCACCCAGCACACGCCAAAACGAAGAAATATCCCCGCGGCTCTCGAGATAAGCGATTACTGCCTGATGGTGAAGCAGAAATAAACAGTGAGAGGGCAATTAGGAGTAGTGGGGAAGGTGCGAATTTTGACGACATCATTACATCAAAAAAGTCTGCGAAGCTGCAGACCTAGACAGGTCCAAAAATTATATCTACTTTACTGCCATATCGTCTGTTGCTGCCGTAGAAACGTAGGAGCTTGAAAATGTTGGGGCGTTTAACTGCGACTCTTCTGAATAGAGATACAGCGGGCCGGGGGCAGTCTGTGTCCTACTCTGCATATGCCGATGTCGTCTGGAGTGGTGTTGTTATGGAGCTTCTGATGCCACTGCTCGTAAAATGAGCCATGTTCCGGTATATGGTGCTTATGCATGATCTCTAGAATTCTGTCTCTTATTGCCTGACCCTGCGAGCCACCTCTTCCCATAGTGCTGAGGCACCCTCGAATCAAGTGGCGGTGAGACGGGTGACTGCGCCAGAGTCTAGCGGCATAGAATGTCAGCGATTCGCATGCATGAGCTAGCTCTCGGGGCTTTGTGTTGTAGTTTCTTTGCCAGTCCAGCAACCCCAAAAATGCAAATCGAGCCCACGTGAACATTAGCTCCCAGAACTCCGTCTCTTCAGCCGCCTCAGCCGTAGCTAGATCCTCATATGCTACAGCATCGTGAGCGGCACGAGCCTTCCCCATCGGGGCACCAAAACCCTCAGGCAAGGGCGCCTCGTCCCCCTCCCACTGCCTATGGGACCAGGTCCGCACAAGCTCCGCAACCCTTTGCGCTCGCGTGCCATATTCTGGAGATGAGATAAGCCTTGCCTCGGAGCGCCTCGCAAAGGATTCATAGAACTCGCGCATCAGGTTGTAGCGATGCATCAATGTCATGTGCTGCCACTCCACCTCAGCCTCCACAATCTTCTCGAGATACTCGCGATTTTCACCTTTCACTGGCACGTTCTCGACATCCAGCAAGCGTACCTGCAACGGTAGAACAGCCTAATTTACCAACGCTGGCACTAGTGTTTCCTCCCCATGTCATAGTATTCACGAGCCCACGAGAGTTATGATGCGAGCGACAGGAGAAAAATCCAGCTCATAACAGGGGCTGACAGAGGCTGCCCATGACCAGAATAATAAAGGTGGACTTTTTCACTTAAATGATGCGTACCTGTATGTCTCTATTGTCAATAGCTTTGTACCATCTGTCAGCGTTTCTTTCTCTGAGGCAACAGGCGAAGCCGTCAAACAGAGGTTCAATGCCAGGGTCTCCTTCAAAGAGAGGGGGAGTTTTCGTTGCTGGGACATGGATCTCTAGATGCTGTAAAAGGCCGTCAGCAGAGTCTTCGAAGGGAGTTTCACAAGCGCTGCGCCCACCACGCGGTTGAAGACAGATCGAGCACAAGGAAAAATCTTCAAGTATTTTCGTGATTTCTCATGGCGAGATGGGAAAGGACAAACAGACGCAGAGAGCTATGGAGAACTTAGAATCCACCCTACTGCGGCTGCCCTGCACTAAATGGAACGCCTTCTCTTGATGTGGGCTTACCGTTGAGGATCTGCCACAACTGTGTGAGGAGGTCTGACCTCAGGCGGAGGACATATCCACTGGTATCTTCCACCTTTCGCTGTCTGTACGGAAGGTGCGCTCGCACCCTCCCCCTTCCGCTGCAGCTCCGTCTGTCTTCTTCCCATGATGTCGACCATGCCCCACCTCAGTACGCAAGGCGTTTGCAGACAAGCTGTGAGAGAAATTAGAACGCTGTGCTTTGAAGGGTCTGCCTCAGTCTTGACCAAAAGCTCCCCAATTCCCTCCGAGAGAGGCACGCGACGCAACGACAGAGCAGTTGCCGCGTCCCTGAAAATGTTAGACGCAAACAGAACAGTGCATGAGTGCGATTACGCGAAAGCAAACCGTTTCTGAGACAAGGCAGTTCACACTGCGATAAGAGCTAGTTCCTTCATTTAAACATAAGAATAACTGTAGGGGAGCACGTTTATCACGGGAAGCGAGGCGCACTAAAAGGCCAGAATTTACTCCAGCACTGTCCGTATATCTGCCTTTTTTGTATTTTTACCTGAATCTACTTCATAAGGGGGACTTACTGTTCCTGCGCGAACTTGTTGAATGCTTGTTGAGCATCGTTCCACTTCTTCTTTCTTTCTTCTCTCTCTTTCTCCTCCTCCGCAGCTCTCAACTCTGCAATCTTTCTGTATTTTTCCCTTAGGGTTTCCCAATAACGATGCGTAGGGAGCTTTACGAAGAAGTCCCCTGTGCGGTCGGCGAACCACCGGTCAGCCATTACCTCTTTCAACACAAACGACACTCCGCACGGCACGGCATCTCCTCTGAAACATAGAGCAACGTGCTGGAAACCCACGCTCCTAGAAGTCTCGCAGAACTGAACAATGCGCAGAATTAAATAAAGAAGCACAGCAAAGGCTGTCTTCAAAAAATCGAGTTTCGGCGCCACACAGTTGCAGGCTTCGGAACGACACACAGAAGAAAAAAAAAAGGAGATTCACATTACTATTACTAAAGCCTTTTCGTTCCCCTGCGTGTGTATACTGTTGCTTCTCTGGAGATGAACTGAATATGCCAGTGTACTGTATGAAACCATGCATCTGGACGTGTAAATGCAGCCACAGTGCGCAGATGCACGTAGACAAATACGCAAGAGTTTGTGCTTCTGTGCAGACGAGTACATACATGCACGTGGGGCTTTCAATGCAGTATATAATGGTAAGCGTCCCTGTGCATAGCTGCTCACTAGAAAAACTCAACTTTTTATTTGCGCATAAGCGGCGCAGGTATTACCGAGCTTAGCCACAAGCACAAATGTACATAATATGCATTACTACAAAATCTGTTTGTGCAAAGGCAGTGTAGCGCGAAAAATATCGTTAGCAGACTAATTCGCAAAGGCAGAAAGTAGCCTCTATTGCACAGCATGTGCACATAAGCGGGACCCTATGGCCATGTATAGGCAGACGCAACTTCACGCTTTAATGTACCTCAAACAAGGTTTGTGCCGCTTTGTTGTCGATTGGATAGTGCGCAAAAGTTCCGTAGAGCGTCTCAAGGTTGCACTGCTCTTCTGGAGAGTCCTTGGAGTACTGCTGTTCATCCACGTTTCTTTCCTTCCCAGGTCGGCTTCGATCTGTCCCATCCGCAATTTTCGTGTCTTCAGCTTTCAGTCCGTGCTGCCGCTCATCTTCCTGCTGGCGATTACTGTCAACGTGCATGAGCATCTTGTTCAGTTCCATGCGTTTCCATGGGCTTGTTTGCGTCTCTGCTGTTCCCCAGTGCAGCAAAAGAGCCGCCGGCCAGTTGCAGAAGATTTCCAAGCCGCAAGCATCCTTGCTAACGAATGTCAATGCCAAAAGCTGCATGTCGCCGTCGTTGACTGGAATTCGCCAGTAGCTGCGCGCACCAGATGGCGCAACTAGATTGGGGAACCAGATGCAAACATGCATTTGCAGAGGGTAGCTGAGCGAACCTATCCCGGAAAAACACAGGAGAAATTAGAAAGGAACGCCATATACGTATATCCAGATTTGGCTGTGAATGGATCCTATTTGCCAGGTGCATATACCGAAATATGAAAAGATAGGATTTATGGAACGCCACACAAACCAATCAAGGTTATGTACACAGTTCCCCCTTGTGTGGAGCCTTCTAAAGCCGGCTAACGCCAAACCGAAAGGTTCCCGGTCTACCTTGGAGCGAGGAAAACAATGTGCTTCCTTGGTATGCTGGTGTTGTTTTTCATGTGCTGCCCCGACAAGGTGACACAAAAATTGCAGAGTTTGCCTGCTCCTACGGATACAGTTCGTGAGGTGTATGGAGGATGCCAAGAAGATGGTCCAAAAAAGAAGCACGAAAAAATCGGAATTTGTGTCTAGCTGGCACACTCACTGTGCGGTGGATGGCTTGATGTGCTGAAGTGGCTGTGACTTCTTGTATGCATCAATGGCCTTTAGGAAAGCGGTTCTAGACACCAGCTGCTTAAGTGCCTGTTTCAGAGGAAGCATGAAGTTCGTAGACGGCCGGCCCGGAGTCGTCTGCTTGAACCACTCATGGGGAGGGGAGTGGAGTACAAAAACCAAGTACTCAGGGGCTGCATCTACAGGGAAACTCAAGTCCAAAACCGGTGGCGGAGAGGAGTTGGGGGACGGAAAGGGGATATCGGTCGCCGTCTCGCCAAACTGTACCGGCGAGCCATTGCTGCGCAGCTGTTCCCTGAACTCGCCTTCGGGCGGCAGCCACTCCCCTGGGTTCCTAGCTACACCCCTGCATCGCCACAAGCACCAAAACGCGAGTGAGTTGACATAATACCACGTATGCAAAAATCATGCTCTGTCAGGGGCAGTTTACCAACCAAAAACCGATTAACTGCTCCCCAAGCAGCATGGCAGTACAGCACCTGTACGAACCGCTTTGCTATTCGTCCCAAAAAGTTACGGGGTTAGCTCAATGAGCACGAAAAAGGACTACGCCAATGATGTGCCGGCTAGGTCTCGCGCAGCCTTAGCCTTACCAGTGCAGTAAGAGCTTCTTAGACGCCTCGTGTGGTCCAAAAAAGGGCTCCTTAAAGGAAAAGAGAACCTGTGCCACCTCCCTGTCAGAACCTGAGCTCTCAGGGTGCCTTCGGACGGTGCACAAAAGGCAGCGCCCGCCATCAACCGGTAGCTCGACGACACATGCATTTGCATCTGCGCCTTCAAGAAGAGGCAATGCCTCTTGCTGCTGCTGCTCCTGTTTTTCGTTCGCCATCTCTACCTGTTCAGCCTGCTATGATAAACCTCGTGGACTGCCCAGAGTCGAAATGGGACTTCATGGCGTCCCCGCGGGCAAGGAGACGGCGACTTTCTGGGAGGACCTTTCAGACAACAGTTGCTGTATTGGAGACTCGCGAACAATCGAAAGTGTGGCTGCAGGGCACAGCAAACCCCACAAGCTGCTCCTCTACAAGGTACAGTTATCTCAATATGAGTTGACTTCCGCGTGTATGCGGGGAGACGACCACTTTTCGGAGGACTCTACGGCCACTCACTGCGGCAGAAAGTGTGATCGAGAGAAGAGAAACAAACTTAGATGGGCACTAGCTTGTCCCACCAATTCCGCCTCAGGCGACCACGGGCAACCGCTGAAGGCGTGAGCGAGGAGGGAGTGCCAATATCAAACTCTTTTTACCTGGGTTTGGCTCAACTGGAAATGAATTTGTTCAGTCCGTGGCAAGCGCTTATTGCAGTATAGGGTGAGCGAGCTGAGAGAGGAGATTAAGGGCCTCTCTTACCCCTAGGCTCCACTTTCACACCAGCCGGAGCAGCCGACACTCCACCAACAGACCGAATGTGTTCTGTTTTTCACGAGGGACCACCATCACATGCAAAACCTTAAATTAGCCTTTAAGCATTAATCAAGCTATATAATCAGCGAATCTGGTGGATTTAAACACTTTTTTCAATGTTGTTTTGCACCGCCGCACGGTGCGTGTGCGTTACCTTTCGAAGTGCGGTGCTACAAACGGCAAATATCAGTATAGAACTTCATCTCTATGACTCATTATTTTAAGTGGAAACCGCTTCTACGTCTCTCTGGCTCCTAGTGCATCCTGATTTAGGCATTCGGGCCGAGTCCGCCGTTTGCGTGTATACCAGTTTTTACAGCTCCAGATGTAACGGTTCTTTAACTGCCTTGCACACCACTTCGCTCCGTTAGTTTTCTTTTCAAGCAGTTAATGTTATCGTTATGACAGTTAAGGACCGTTCAGGCTGTCGCATATGGCCGGTTCTACGGAGCCAATCAGGACCCAGGTGGAAATGAAGGTGCAGACGCATAACTGAAACCGGATTTTCAACTTACTATACCAGGTCTTCTCTAGTTAGTTTCGTACAGCACGACTCTAATATTTGGGTCTTCAAAAGGACTTCGCAAATCTGCCACGGTTCGGCACGGTCCCGCGCTTGGGCTGATCTGAAAAGTGTGTAATCCACAATTACATAGTCAGTCAACGCCGTCTTATGTGTATACATCCGAATACTGATTTTGTATCATTTGGAAGCAGCTAATTTATCTCGATACCCTGACGGTTGTTTTGTATTGGTCAGGCACCAGTGGAATGCGATGCTTGAATAGCTATTCAAGCATCGCATTCCACAGGAGGAGAGCAATAGCAACTGCACTGTGCAGACTGTAAACGAAAGTGACTTTCTTCCCTGATGAGCCCGCATCTTTCTAAATTTATTTGGCAGCCTTTACTGGACTTGTTGCAGTGTAATGGCCAACCCGAGGAACTTTGGCAACTAGCTTCAGCTGCCCACTAGAGTGGGTTATGATCTCTCCTCATAGTCAAAAGCTGGGCTAGAGTGTGCAAGAGTAGGATGGACTTTTTCTATGGGTAGTTTAAAAATGTGCTGTGTGAGGGTGATGAATCGAGTGCCGGGGCACTAATTGACTTCCTTCTGCGCACGTTCGTCTCTCTTTCTGCTACGCAACTTTGCCTTGTCAGAAGAGAGCAGAAAACATATTCCAAGAGGTACATACGAAAGCCTTAAACAAGCTACTTAATAAATTTTGCTGATTGCCTATTTTCGGCTACTTGGTCATTAGGCCCATGACCGAAGAAATCGGAGTAACTGGGAGAGCGGGCCGGATCATCCATCAAGATACGCTTACACCAGAATAATGAAGGTGTCTCAGTCTACACCGCTTTCTCCAACACGGAGGCCCCCACAGCCCTGGTCCAGCGCGCCCGTGCCCAAAAGTAAGTCACGTAGCCTTGAACAGCCCCTCCCTCCACGCTAGACAGCGTTCCAGCCTCATCTGCTGATATTCTCGTTGGACACTTTCACGATGCCCTCATTTTCTCAGCGAGAATCAACGGGCCGACTGCAACTATTCCGTTGCCACAAAAGCCTTTCCCCAGTAGTATTTGACAAGTTTTGCAGATTTTCCAGGCTAGAGAAATCCGCGTTTTTATGTACGCCATTTGCAAATGAAATCCTTATTGTCGCATTTTGCAAGCCTGTAGTGAGCTAGATGCTCCCTAGGAGCACCAGAATATCGGAGGGCTGCTACCCCTAGTGACAGGCACCGTATTCTGTATCCGTCTCCGCAGATGCGTCCAGTATCATAAAGTGGCTTTGAGTAAACTGTCACTGCTTGTGTGACTCTATCGTCCGGAATAAGCAAAGTCACAAGGCCGCTGGTTCATCTGTAACTTCCGTTGAGTCCTTGAAATTAACAACACTAGCCTTTAGTATGGCGCAGCTCGTGTGGTAAGTTGGCCGAGGAACAATGCGATAAATCTGCTTCTGGCACGTTCCAACCCCTGTGCTTCAGTCTTCTCAAAGTTAGATGAGTGCACCTGGCGATCGCTTTTTCACTAATTAACTGCGATTTGGTGGATAAGTGCCAAACGGCTGGAAGTGCAAGGAGCAGAGCCCGCTTCGAGTCCGATCCAGTTCTCCTTTTAAAAAATCAATGCAAAAGAACATTTTTCGATTTATACCTCCTGAAGTCGTCGCCCCAATAGAGCTGGCCGTCGCTTAGTTTCGTACATGTTTTTTCTAAACTAAGGAAGATCCTGATTGTATTGCTGCTCATGAATCATTGACTGCAAAACACTTAACGGCTCTCTTGCCGAATTTATTTGCACCAACATGTGCCATATTTGCCCCATTTCCTGCCCCAGGTGCGCGGCGTCCTCTGTTCGGTCCCATTTACGCTGCGGGTTCGACCACCTGCCTCTTGAAAAGGCTATGTTGTGGAAATGTGCTCTTGCTAACGGTCTTGTGTTTTTATGATCTGGTATTGAGGCGGCCGGAACTGCCATCGGTCGTTCTGGGCAGGCCATTCGTACAGCAGACATCCTGGATCTTGCACATGCATCTCTCGCTCCTTGCGCACGTCAGTAACTAGAGGGCTTTGACGCGTCCGATGGTAGGAACCCCATAGTTTAGTAAGGTTAGCTAACAGCTTTCTAGTGCCCACTAAGTCAAAAGAAAGGTAAAATCGGGAATGCTCCCTAATTGAAGTCAGCTACGCCCAGCCAGCTCTGCTCGTACAAAGTTTTCTTGCTTTGCTCGTGCAAGCAGTTATGGCACCGAGCTCTACATTAAAAGGCATTAACTTTCTTTTTTCTTAAGAGCTATTCTTTTGAGCAGGAAGTTCGTTCTCTGTCTCCCAATGTGCGTGTGGCTGGAATCACCGACTGAGTTAAGTGGCCCCAGACTGCTGACGACTCGAAGAGCGACCTGCATTCACTGCTTCCTGAGCTTCTGTTTTTCGTAAACTAATTCAGATTACTATTTTTGTAGCATTTTTCACCTAAGTAACGCTGTAAAAATTAGGTTTCAGGCGGCAGAATGGCAAGCAGCAGCGCACAACTCCACTGACCCGTACGAAGTGATCTCCACAGCGACGGACTCAACGTGTCTTCACGTAGACGGGCCCGCTTTCACCTAGCTTGCACTCAGAACCTCAGAACGTATTACGGCAATAATCTGCAACCACTCGGGCAGCCAACGTGCTGTGCCTTATCGCCCATAAACCCCACTGGTACAATTGTCCGCTCTTCCCCAGAGCGCGCACAACTGTGAATAGCATTAACTACCCGCGAATACTCATGGTAAGTGCCTGCATGTCCCACTCATTTAGTGGTACCGTTATTTGTTATACAAGCGGGTGGATACTCGACGTCGTTGAGTACAGGTCCTCCACCTCAGGGAAGCAGCTGGGTAAAGCACTCTGTAGCCAACTGATTGTCGCCTCAAGAATTCTCTTCTCACATATCACTGAGTCTGGTGTCGGTCGCCATGTCCTTCGTGAAGATAAAATATGAGTTTGCGGCGGCGGGCTGCCTCGCTGTGAGCAGGCGCACGGGCACTCCTCAATCGCGCTACGCCTGGCGCAGGGAAGGGGCGACATGCCGTGAGGGCGTTGACACTTGGCAAACGCGAAGCGAATTTTTAATTCTGTTTGTTCCCAGGAGCTTTCCAGGCTATGCTGTAAACGACCTGTTCGCACCTGTTGGGCCGCCGGAACGCCTGCATTTACTTTCAGGACATGCCCTTCGACAGAAATGGTACCCTTCTCCAAAGAACGGGGCTTTCGTAAAGTAGCACTGAGAGGAGTTGCGGAGCTGGTACCTCGACCAACAGCCAAGGAGGAAAGGCCGGAATCTACGATGCAGGCGGACATAAATCGTCTGCACACGTCATCATTTGGTCAACTTAAGAACAGGATGCAACCTTCTGAAAAGGGAAGAGACTCTACCCTGACGGTCGTGAATCGGTTGAGCAAGCTGGTCCATTTGATCCCCAGACTCGCCGATGCTTGAGTCTCAGCAGCTAACAGGTTGGCTGTGATGCCAACCTCTTAGCTGCTGAGACTCAAGGAACACAAGAACACCACAACTACTGTCCCTCACTTGAGTGTGAGTCAGCCTCTGACCCCGTCCCTCGGTTAGTTTCAGCTCAGTCTTGCTCGCCAGGCAGGCACGTGCAAAGGTGCTCTCTGCGAACTCTATATGTGGGTGTCTGACACTGTACGAGGCAATTAAGACATCTGTGTTTCGTCCCATAGATCCGCAGAGCTACGCTAGTGAAGGATGATTCACCCTCTGTTGCATTCTCTGTGTCCTCATCTAATGCAGGCTCTGGCATATTTATCGTGCTCATCCACGAATACTCCCATAATACGACAGTCTTCCAAAGGGGCATCTCTCTTCTTCTGATGTCAGTAAAATGTGCAAGTTTCCCTGCGAAACG